TCTTCCCAAAGCCATTATCTGATGATAATATGTGATGACTATATCATGATTGAATTATTTTTAGTCTTACTGCTGCGAGCCTTATTTACTCCTAATCTTCACTAGCATTTGCTAAGCCTGTCATTCACCATGCAGACTGAAACTGAGAATGTGCCACCTTTCAAAGACCCTCATTTCTAGATTCATTAATACAGACACCATTGAGAGATTGGAAACAAAGTGACAAGTGGTGGATCCTGCTCTCTGGTTAAAGTTATTAGCATCTGTACCTCCTACTCAATGATTTATGAAGGAAACAAACACTTATTTGTTAATGCCTATTGCTTGCACATCAGGAAGTAAAAAGAGTAGTAGAGATCCAAAAGAAAAATCAATGGCCAGTTCAGGTGCAAACAAACAAGAGGAGCAAATGTTTTCCCCTAAGTACAAATGCAAGGCAAATTTACACTGACACACTGAAAATTAATGAAATGTTTGCTGGTATTATGGGGGAGATGGACTAACAGTACTGCTTTGAGCCCAGCATCTCACAGGCATAATTTAGATAAACCACAAAGCCATGTAATGGGTGGTAGAGAAAGAGAAATCTCAACTGACTTGCAGTGACAAATGGCAATATAACACCATGAATTTACTCTGTGAGAGCAAGGTAGTAAGTGCCTCTAAATGAAAGACAGTGTTTTCCTAATAAAGACAGAAGATACAAGATAGGATGAGTGACAGCAAAAGGCTTAGAAGCCAAAGACATAAAATACCAACACTGTAGGTGAAGTAGTTTGCCCAATGTTTTAATGATTCAGTGTTGATTTTTTTTATCTTCCCATATTTACAAAATCCTCTCTCTGGGATGTCAAAGCCAAGATATTTCCTCCCCATCCCATTCTCACACACACTGAGAGAGATGGAAATGCTAATATTTACAAGAAGCACAGAGCTTTCATGTTAGTTCCACCATGGTTCAGTAGCTATGTAAGAAGCCTAGCAGTAAACAAAAAGTGGCTGTGTGTCTTGTGTTATTGTTACAGTACAAGGGGTCAGGAATCATGCATGTGTTTTGGCATACAGTCAAATCTACAGGACTGTTATGCAAAGTTTATTTTCACTGGCTGCTTACACAAGTGACTACAGGTGGCAGAGACCAATGTGCTTGGATCAGCATTTCTGCACTACACAAAAAGTGACCTGTAAAAGTAGGAAAGTAGCACTAAATTAAGAACCAAAAGAGAGAACAAAAAGACTGCCTTTCACTGAAGTGTAGTTGACTAAAGTGAGCACTATCAGAATGCTCCAGAAGTGAAGTGGCCATTTCTTTCAAGAGCTTCTAACATATTCTTGAATAAGATTGTTGAAATCTTTGACAATTTCCACCTAAGTGGAGTTATTTTACAGTGCACTATCACTATGGAACCAGTTAAAAAACAAACACAAGAAAACAAAACAAAACCACCACCACCTGAAAAACCAACTCAGCTTTAAAGAGAAAAAGAAATTACTGTCCCACATTTCAAACTGTGGTTATTTGCTTGTTTAGCTAATTTAGCAATGAATTCAGGCATTTATAAAGAAGAAATACATGCAGTTTTTAAGAAGGGATACTATCAAAGCTCCAAGTGTCAGAATTTGACTAATTTTATCATCCTCTTTTATCTCCAAAGTCAATATAAACCTACTTAAAGTATTATTTGCAAGTGCTTTAGCCAGGAAGACCAGCAAGAGTAACTCAACAGGAATGTTTGGCTAAAGAGTGACTTCCACTATCAAATTCTGGGGATGATATAATTATTTTTGAATAATTATATACCGCAGTCAGTCTCCCTACTTTCCTCCTTCAAGGTCAAGGGGAAACAAACCTTAATGAACCAGAAGTCTACTTCCTTCAAAAGACTTCTGTTATTAGTAGGAAAGCAAACCATGAAACTGTCAGGAAATAGGAATGGGTAGATCAGCCATGTACTACTGTGTGCTGGTTGTTACACTAAATTGACATGGAGGTTTTAATAATGAGACTTTATTTACCTCCAGTGAATTAAGTAATTTGATTCTTTAGAAGTAGATTCATAGAGCAGCTGTTAAAAACAAGGCTGCACCGATATTTTCCTTGATATAGAAAAAGAGGAGTGGCATTGCACAACCTGGACTCCACCCCCAGCTTTAGAGTCCTGCCCTACAAGCAGCCACTTGTGGATTTCAGAGCTAACTGCCACTGAAACAAACAGCACAGACTATAATTTCTTTCAGAACAAATGATCTTACTGTACCCACAATCTTGAGCCTTGTGGAAAGTCTGAATGGCTCCAGAAGGAGAATCATCCCCCAGAACACCAGGTGCTGGGCTTCTCATTTTCCACTGCTTGAGCGCCTGCTCCTGCTTCCCCTCTCTTCCCACTCTCTCTCCTTTGCACAGTGCTCCTTCAGATCTTGCCTTCTTATCCCACACCTCTGAGCTGTCAGCAGCTACCCACCTTCCTGCTCGCCTAACACCTTGCTTGCCCTCATCTAACAATATCTGACACTCATCCTCACCCTGTAATTTCTAGTCCGCTATTCCATATAAAACCATAACCTTCAATCTTGTTACCCTCCTCATATTCATTTTGTTTTCTTTCCACTCATTAAAACTCCCACTCATTACAAAATAGACAGTCCCACAACCCAGTTTCTTTAACTCTTTAACAACCATCTCATTCCATGTAACTCCCTCTTCATGCAACTGCTCTGCTCTCTTGGATTCTGTGACCTACCCGAAAAGGCCCCCACTGCTCTCCACAAACTCCTGAGTCCTCCAGTCTCTTCTCTCAACTTTTTTTTTTCTGAATTTCTATAATAAGATACATACCAGTATTCCTATTACAGATCTCCAACACGATACCACCTCACTGAATGCACTGGGGAAATATTCATAGCAACATTTCACCATGGTTTCCTCTGCTCTAATAGTCTTTCCCTTCACCTCAAGAAGGCCGCCTCCTCCAACTCTATTGCAGCAGCACTCACAAATCCACCGTCGGCTCCCTACTTGTTACCTCAAGCCTCCTCTTCTTGTGCCAGATGGATGTTCCTGACTTTTTCAAAGAGAAATTTAACAAGACCTGACATGATTTAGTTCTTCGACATTATAAGCAAATGACCGTATCATTCACTACCTCTGGCACACCAATCTTTCGGCCACCCAATTCTACTTTTACAGTGGAGGCTACAGTTTGGTGCAGACGTACTGACTACATCTTCGTAACCAAACCCTGGCCTCATAGTCTCTTTTGATCAAAAACATTATAAAGCTGCCAGGTGCCTTTACAGAATTTCTGATTTCCTGTAAGAGACAATGCCAGAAGATGGGCAATTATTTGCACAAAGTCCTGTCTAAAACAACTAAGAATATCACATTAGGCTGACTCAGACTGATACTAAACCCAACCTTTATGCACAGAAACCTTACAGGATCACTAAGCTTCATTCTGCACTGCATCACACACTGGTTAATCATCAAAACCAGTGCAGACAAGGCACAAAGTCCTCATGGAAAAGCACTCAATCTTGCGCTGCCACAAGTGACACAATTCGTTTTCCACTAGCAAATTTCTTATGCATCTAGATGGGTCCCCTTCTGCCTTTGGGTGGACCTAATTCAGGGCTGCCTTATTTTGTTTGTTACACGAATATTAGATCCAACTGTGAGAAGGTACGCATGTAGTCCCTGTCACAGAGGCAAGGAAACAGTGCCTTACTCTCAAAGCCTGAAATCCAAAGCTCTCAGAGTGACAAAATAAGTATAATTATTTCTGATTTACAGATGAGGAATGCAAATACACAGATGGGGACTTCCAAAGAATCTACAGGCTGAAACAATTGGTACATACCAACTTCCTTACTCTGCTTATGACTTGTAAAACAACTTTCATACTCTGCAGTCTCACTAGATCTAATTCTGAAGGCTACAGAGAAAAGAGAAAAGGTTAGTAGCAAGTTGGATCTGTACACAGAACACCTCCCAGCTCACACTACAGAAAAGCACCTGTGCTTCTTCAGCTGTTTCCAAGCCAGCAGGTATAGCACAGGAAAGACAGATCAAAAGAGGCTGTGCTGACAGCCATCCAAAACAATGCATTCTGCAGCCAGGGCAATGAGCCAGAAAGGGAAAGTAAACAGAGGCCTTCAAAGAGCAACATAGGGCTGGACCAAGAAAACATGTAGGCTGAATGGCAGTGCCTCCAACACACAGGATTTTGATGGCATGACTCAGTTGGCCATAAATTTCTAAGTTCCCACATTAAGAGTTTTTTCCTCAACCTGAAATAGTTTGTGGTCTAGGGATGGGACAGGGAGCCAAGGCCTCGTGAATTCTCATTCCCTCTCTGACACAGGCTACTGCATTCCCTCAACTCCTGTGCCTCAAAATCCCACCATCTGTTTCACAGAAGTACTGTGAAAGTTACTAGAAATTTCTGGGAATTAAGAGGACCAGGAAGACAGACACATATGAACTATGACAGCTAATACTTAATTTGTTATCAAGTGTTAATCTTTGGTGACATGTAACATGCAAATTTCTTCCCCAAGAATTAATCCAAAATGATTAGAGCACTAAGGAGAAGCTCATGATTATTTATATGCTACATCTCCACTCTCCAAAACACAAGTAATTTTGGGAAAGTATGCTCTTCATTCCTTGAAAAGGGCTAAAAGGAAATAGTAAAAATACATACTTTTTAGAGTAAATCACTACCTGCCCTGTATTTTAAATAATGATTACAAATGATTATTTACAATAAAAACAGTTTTAGGTTACATTTTTGAGGAGCCTGCTTGCAGTTAGCCACATTCCCCACCCAATACAGGTTTAAATAACAATTCCATATTCTTGAGGATTGGCTGCTGAAGGGGCTGTTCAGCAGTTGCAAGGCATTCTCACGAACTTTCAGGATGGAGTAAATTCAAAGTAGATGATCTCTTAACAATTAAAAAGCATTAAAATAAACACATTAAAAGTAAGTCTTTCTTACCTATTAGTATCCTATTTTTTGCAATGCCGTTTTTTATCTCATCGTTGATTAAGTCTGTAAGTCCCCGGCACATAGAATCAATACTTTCAATGTGTTCTGGACAATCATTAGAGATCTTATACCTGTCAAACCACACAGTGGAAAAGGTTCCTTTCATAGGTGTATATGGCCTGCAGTGGTGGAAGGAAAGAAAACAAATGATTAACCAAACATAAGATCAAAAGCCTTCAGCATACCTGATAAACAAAACCAATTCAGTTTCTCTCCAGCAAAGGAGAGAAGGAACCTCTTTCAGGTCTAACTCAATTCACATCCAGTCACATTGCATTTCCTTGCATTCAAAACACTGTCCTTCAAGAACAAAGAGCGCATTTGGAAGCTGTCTCAAATGCAAGTTTCCGTCAGTTCAATGTCAAGGTTGATCAAGTCAGCTAAACATTTTAAATCCTAACCCTGTCAAAAGGTTCTTAATCCTAAACAAAGTTCGGGTTGAAATCTACCTTGGAAGAGGACAAACTGAAGTAACTGCTAAACAAGACAGCTTTGCAGGAGCTAACTTTATGGGGTTCAGTTGTCTTATTCTTGTTGAAATCGACAGGAGGTGGGTATCATGAACTTCTAGGTATTTACAAAGGTGTCTTCCTTCTGTCAATTTTTCTTTTTCTGAAATAAATACAGCCATCCTCACCTTAATGGGTCAGATATCTCATAAAGATAAGTGAAAGAAATGCCATGTTGCTTACTGGATTGATGCACAGACACAAATTAAGAGACATCATGATACCACCCCGCCCCGTAATACTGTGTTGTCATATTAGTATTTTAAGTGCTTTAACATGCTGCCCAAATCTCAGATAATCAAGGAAGCTACAATCCAAAGCAGCCTTTTCTTTGTTTTTAAATAAAGAAGATGAATAGAGCCCTGAAATCCCAAGAAAGGTGATCTAACTGCCTTGCAATGGCTCTACAATTTAATACCAAACATACCGCTTTGAAATCGATGCTTCATCTCAAAACCAAGCCCCCTAAAATCCTTAATTGCAATGTTTAATCAGGGTGGACATTTTTCATTTTTAGTTAAGCTCAGATGAGCTCAGATCATATTACAATCATTGCCTACAAACAGACAGTCTTTGATGAATTTGTCTGGATGGGAACCCACTGAAAATACTAACACTGTCTTCTGTGCTCTCTCTGGATTTTTTTCAGTACTAGGATTAAAGAAAAACACAACTAACCTAAAATAAGAAAGCCACTATTTCAATTATTCTTAATGAAGGAACAAATTCTGCCTTTATTAATACCAGGAATGCTTCACATATGTAAATCACTATTTTTAAACCAGAAATACTGCCACTAGTACGAGTGTACAAGAAGCAGTATACCGGTTGCATTACTCAGTCGCACAACTCAAAAATGAGAAAAACACAGATTTTCTTCTGCCTGGTGCCATGAACATGAAATAAAGTTCATGACTTTAAAGCTGGTAAACCAAATATAAAGAAAGAGGCAAACAGCAACAGATAGGTACAGACAGACTACACTGTTCCATCTTTTTGGGCACAGCTTCAGAAACGAGTACCTAAAAACCACAACAATCTACTGTTATTCAAAATGACATACAAGTATGTGGTCAAGTTTAGTACAGTGTGTGCCTTAAGTAGCCCCTCATTTAATTCAAAACAAACCATACACTTAAGCTCCACAATTAATGTTTGTTTTTTTTTTTTTTTCAAGTTAGCCCTTACTTGTCTATTAAAAAAAGGTAATTCCTAAATTAAAGGAAATTCAGTGAAATACTTTGTACACCCAACAAGCTAAAGCTAAGTTTAAAAAATGTTATTAACATGCTTTTGCTTTTTTTTGTTTGGTTGTTTTTTTTTTTTTTAACTTTAGTATTACCACTGTCTCCAGGATTATTCCCAAATGAATTGATCAATACCTAAGAAACAAGATTACAAATCTCTAGTTCACCAAAGTCAGTTTCTAAGATGAGACATTCCAGTCAAAAATACCAAAAACCGCTGAATCGGTGGAGTTTCTGGAAGACACGTGGACAATGTGATGTACAACAGACTAAGCGCTTGGGCAAACAGCATTTAATTCATGGTTTTAGCTTCTCTCTCAAACACTTTTACATCAATCCTGGTTAAATGCTTAGCAGCCAGAGTGCTTCATTTTCCAGTAAAACCAGAGTACCTTTTATTTCTGGGAGAAAAGATATGTAAGGTTTTAGTATTATTACAGCAGGTTGACCCAGGATTTCCGTGGCATGAAGATACGTATTTGTATTACATTACAGAAATTTACACTTACATTACAGAAACATTAAAACAGGTTTCCCCACAACCGAAAGACAGAAACATACAATTTTTAAACAGGACAAAATCCATGATGAGATTATAATACTTGATCAGATGTCAAAACTCAGGACTTTTACCTGCTATCTTTGCAAATTCTTCAATAAGATAGATGAAAGATTAACGTGTCTTAAGCCCACAGGAAAACACCCCCAAGCAAACAGATGAGATGCTTTCAGCTGTCTCAAAAACATCCTTGCAAACACTTTTGATTTTTCAGAAATGCGTTAAAAATAACCTTTACATAAAGCTGAGAAATAAGATTCTTTTAATGGTTCACCCAACTGGCACATCTGTTTTAGTCATTCACCTTGTTCCTTAAATAAATCCCTTTATTAGCTGGCACACTACAACTCAGACATTACCACGGTAAACAAATATGTTTGGCATGGAACCATCTGTACAGCTCCAAGAATACAGAACAAAATTTTTTCATACAATTAAACCACAAAATAAAAAAAAAAATTAAAAAATCCCTATATTACAGTGACACAAGAGGCTGGACTGAAATACACAAAAGCAAAGAAATACAGAGTGGAGTGAAAACTCCATCTGGTAAGATCAGCATGGTCAGTTAACGACAGTGTCAGACCAAATGGTCAGCTTCAAGTTTGAATTTTTTGCTTTCCTAAGTTTAATCAAAACTTGTAACATTAGTCCCAATGATTTTTTCCCCCTCTGTGCCTCACTTTCTTTATTCTCTTTTTTAAATGATATGAAAAATAAAGCCCCATGTCTCTAAAACATGTACCGTTGAAACTTGGAATGAAAATATATAGCTCCAAGTTGTGTGGGGTTGTTTGTTGTTGTTTTAAAGAGGATGTGTGGTTTTGTTTTGCTTGCTCTGGAACACACACAAGATTCAAATCCATTAAGAAAACAAGAATCAAGAACCCTCTCTCTGGGTATATCCAACTTCCAAACTTGTACTCATTTATAAGAGACATTTGAAACACAACTTCCTACGAATTGAACTAACTCTTAACATTTAAAAATAAAGAGAAAAGAAGATGTAAAGGAGACATGGCTAATATCAAACAGCATTGAAGAAACTGCAGGCACCGTGAGGAAAAGAATCTTTAAAATGCTTCCCAACATCCTCAAATCACTCTAGACCATGTTTTCTGATTACTTTATAGGTCTTATTTTTTAATGGTGTGCACTCATCTACAATTGTTCTCTCACACATACACTTCTTGCATGAGATTGCAGCTTCAAGAATATCCTACTCATCTAATATGTGAATGTCTTAAAAGGAAAATATGTCCTGTAATATCTCTGTAAGTATTTATCATCCTTTCAATCTTTTAAATATGTATTCAGGTAGAGGTAAGTCTCACTGTTGATTTCACTGCAAAGTTTCAAAGTAATACAGATCATTCTAGGTGAACATTAATACAGCTCATGCTAGGTTAACATCTGGACTTGATGATCTTAAAGGTCTTTTCCAACCTAAATGATTCTATGATTCAAGTTTTCACAAACAAAGGTTAGCTTCTGCTAACGTAAGTTATGTACTAACGATGAAAATATAATGAAAGCAGGAAGCAGTAACACCATCTTTTTCCACCTTCCTGGAGCATGGATTATATACTCTAGACCTTCTTAATCACATTTAGAATTGTCCTAAATAGTTTGAAATTATATTAAGTGAACAGAAGTGGAGAGCAACTGAATGATGCTATACAAGGTTCAAATTCAGATCTAAAAACATGCCAAATCCTATCTCCAAAACAATGCTATTAGCACAGCAATGCACATAAAACTACAGGTGTTTTTCTTCGTTATCCAGTAAATCACTGTCCCTGTCCAACATTTTAAGTTAAAAGACAAGCCAGCACTACTGGCTACTTTAAAGAAGAAACATAAGAGTAGCAGACAGCACGTTGATAAGTAGTAAATATTCTTCCCCCAACTCCTCCTCCTGATGCACAACCGTATTGCTGCCTTCACACTCGGTACTATGATCACCCTGCTAATGCAGTCACATAAAACCCAGACCACTGGTGATGGCTTACAGCTTTCTTTAAGTTCCAGACAGAACTTCCTGAGATGTCAGACAGAACTGGGAATTTATACTGAAGTTAGGCTTCAAGATTCAAATAAAGAAAGAAAGATCAAAATTTTTGAAATCCTCACTGTTGCTTCTTTCCCAAACCCATCGCCTCTCAGTTGGGAGGCACAGAATCACAAGACATTGTAATGTTGTCTTTTGGAGTCCATGCATCCCTTCAAGAAAATCTACAGAGCACACTGCCAGACAAAAATAAGGCAGGCAAGAGTGATCTCCATGAGGAGCAATTTTGTCTGTTCCACAGAACAGGCTGTGCCTGGTCACTCACCCACATGCAAATGCTTTTGATAGAGTTGTTCTGGATGTATACTGCCTGAAAGGAGAGCTAACTGAGCCAGTACAGGATAGTTACCTAAAGGAATACTACATTGACAGCTTTTGGTACTTCGGACAAATCTTATTCATTCAAGACAAAGGAAGTTGCAATAGAAACTGACATAAAATTCAGCAGGTCAAATTCTGAGTGACTGTTTGTTTTGTTTTGGGGGGTGGGTGTAAATTGTGGGGATTTGTACTAATCAGAGAAATGGCAATAATGTTATGGTTGAGAAGACCATTTTTAGACCTGCCAGTGACCTTTTCTAGACACTGCCAGTTCCTCAGCAAGCAGCTAATAGTTGCTGCTTTATAAGTTCACTGAAAGAAAATGGCAAGAGGCAAACCAGGGTCCAATCTGAATCATTCTCCATTACAGGGTTTGAAAGACACGCTTGGGTTCAGAGTGGTATCTTTCACA